ATAGCATTCTGCAACTGTAAGAAGGATGGCTGGACTGCTTCCGGGTTAGAGTTTTGCTAACAAGTAATACAGAAGAGAAAGGAATGGAGTGTGAAACAGTATGGTATGTATACAGAAATGATACTGCAGTAAGAGATGAGATCTGAGAAGTAAGCAGGAACCACATTCTTTCATTGACTCCACAAATATTTATTGAGTGCTTACTATGTGCCGAGCATTTTTCTAGATGCTAGAGATAAATAGGGAATAGAACCAAGTCCCTCCCCTCATTGAGCTTACATTCTGATGGGGAAGAGAATTACAAACACATACACATATAAAACTGGATAGTAATATATGCTCATTATAATATTCACAGAAAAATAAGGAAGGTATTAAGAAAAAGAGATTATTAGTCCCCATGGACAAAACTAAAACAATATATTTTCTTCCATTTTTTTTCTGTGCAGTTTTGTATTTATATTATTATAATCATATTACATTTGTTCCTACTATTTTCAAGTTTGAGAAACCTTTTGCAACAATTTAAAAAACTGTACAGAAAGCTACATGTTAAGTCATAATTTTAGAACGTTAAGGAAAATATGGTTAAGCTAATAATACCTCATTAGTAATTCACATTAAAGTGAATTTAAAGTTTACTAACCATATCCTCATCAACATATATAGGTAAGATATCTTCCAATTAATCTAAGATCAAAGGTTGAGAAACCACTGTCATACTATTTATAAGTTTCTACACCTTGTTTTTTCACTTTGCCTTAGATTTCAAACATTTCCTCCATATTTTACAAGTTATATCTAAATAGTTAAATAGCTATGTAATATTCCATTGAGTAGAAACACTGTAAATTACTTATCCATTCCTTCATTGTCAGACAGATTGTCTTCACTTATTACTGATAAATGGTACCACAATAAATATATTTTTAAATTACTTTCTAGTTCTGCTTCTGGTATAACCATTTAGCTCTTATTGAATCATCACTCTAGCAGATAAAAACTAAATTCTAAATAAAACATAAAAAACAACTATCTCAAAGCAAGAGAGGGACCAACATTTGTGTAGCCAGGTGAGTTTCCATTTTCTATGGCTTTTAGCTAGAAGGGAGGTACCAGTCTGTGCTACGTAGGGTTCTAAAACTCCCATAGAATCTATGGCCATGCCACCCTGAACAAGCCCAACCCTGTCTGATCTCGGAAGCTAAGCATGATTGGGCCTGGTTAGTGCTTGGATGGGAGACCACCTAGGAAGACCAGGTGCTGTAGGTGTAAAAACTTAAAAAATAAGGGATTATAAACTAGAAGGGAGGTACCAGTCTGTGCTACGTAGGGTTCTAAAACTCCCATAGAATCTATGGCCATGCCACCCTGAACAAGCCCAACCCTGTCTGATCTCGGAAGCTAAGCATGATTGGGCCTGGTTAGTGCTTGGATGGGAGACCACCTAGGAAGACCAGGTGCTGTAGGTGTAAAAAATTAAAAAATAAGGGATTATAAACTAGTAAGGTCCTTGTAATCTGTGAGGTCAACCAACGGTTGCCTCACCTAACAAAATTAAATAAATAATAAAACTCCTATAGAAAAAATATAACCTTACTGGCTTAATAAACTATATAACAGAGTTTAGGATAAACATAATTGCTGAAAAGGGGAGAAATTATGAGAAGAGACCCAGACAGGGGAAACCCCAAATTTTGGGTATAAACTCTGTCTCAATCTTTGACTGACTCTTGAAGCAGACATCATGGGATAGACTCTAAGCATCCTAGTTAAGGCTAAAAAAATTTTTAAACTAAATTAAGATTTGAGTTGCCACTCCACCAAAGTGAAGATAGAGTTTGCAGTCAGCATCCAATAAAGTTAAGTTCCCACTAAAACAAAAAGAACACTCTTGGGAGAATGTAAACAAATCCAGAGTCTTTACAACATATTTACAACGTCCAGGATATATCTGAAATCTTCCAACATATGAAGAAATAAGGGAGCATGATCCATTCTCTAGGGAAAAGGCAATCAATGAACTTAATCCTAAGATAACTCAGATGTTAGAACCAACAGAGAAAGATTTTAAAGCAGCTATTATAACTAAACCTTCTACTTCATAACTTGGTATCCCCTCCTTTCATCACTCTATTATCAATAACCCTACTCAATACCATAGTTCTCCTTATCTACCAAGCCTGTAGATCCTAGCTCCTTCTCCTGACCTGAATATTACATCTTATTAAAGCAGAGATTGCCAACTATGTATCTTGAATAGGCTATGTGTTACTAAGATACTGACATCCTCAGCCTTTGGGGCAGCCAGGGGTGGCCTGGGACAGCTGGAGCTCCTGGCTAGCTTACCCCTGACTTTAAGCAGCCTCCTTTGTTTAACCCTAATGTCTCCGATAAATGTTATCACTTTCCATTTATGCCATAGTGTGAAAAAAAAATTGAGAAGCATATAAAGGACTTCAGTAGACATTTCTCCAAAGAAGATATACAAATGACCGATATGCACATGAGAAGATGCTCAATATCACTAATCATTAGGGAAATGCAAAACAAAACTATACTAAGATACTACCTCACACCCATTAACATGATGAATATTAAAAAAAAAACAAAACAGGAAATAACAAGAGTTAGTAAGGATGTGGAAAAGTTGTAACACTTGTGCACAGTTGGTAGGAACATAAAGTGGTACAGGTGCTGTGGAAAACAAAATGACAATTCCTCAAAAAATTAAAAATAGAATTATCTTATGACCTAGCAATTCCACTTCTAAGTATAAACCCAAAAGAAAAAAAAGCAGGGTCTTGAGGAGATATTTGTACTCCCGTGTTCATAGCAGCATTACTCACAATAGCTAAAACATAAAAGCAACTCATGTGTCCATCAACTAATGAATAGATAAGCAAAATGTGGTATAAGGCCCACTTATCTGAGAGGAATATGTTCCAAGACCTTAATGGATGCAAAACTGGAAAACAAAATGACAATTCCTCAAAAAATTAAAAATAGAATTATCTTATGACCTAGCAATTCCACTTCTAAGTATAAACCCAAAAGAAAAAAAAGCAGGGTCTTGAGGAGATATTTGTACTCCCGTGTTCATAGCAGCATTACTCACAATAGCTAAAACATAAAAGCAACTCATGTGTCCATCAACTAATGAATAGATAAGCAAAATGTGGTATAAGGCCCACTTATCTGAGGGGAATATGTTCCAAGACCTCAGTGGATGCAAAACTGGATAGTACCAAACCCTTTTTATACTATGTTTTTTCCTATACATACATACAACTTAGAGGAAGTACTTTATGGCTTCTCTTTGGCATATCCGGATTGCCAGCATCATTACTACTGTGCTTTGGGGCCATTATTAAGTGAAATAGGGTTACTTGAACATGAGCACTGCAATACTGATAGTCGATGATACCAACAGTTGATTTGATAATCAAGCCAGCTACTAAGTGACTAAAGGAAGAGGAGCACCTGAACAAAGGGATGATTCACTTCCCGGGCGGGACAGCATGGAATTCCATCATGCTACTTAGAACAGCATGCAATTTAAAACTTACAAATTGTTTATTTCTGGAATTTTCCATTGACTATTTTTGGACCATGGTTGATCATGGATAACTGAAACTGCACCGCGGATAAGGTGAGACTATTATATAGATGTACAATGGAATAGCCTTAAAAAGGAAGGAAATTCTGACATAATGCTACAACATGGGTGAACTTGAGGTCATTGTGCTAATGAAATAAGCAAGTCATGAAAATGCAAATACAGTGTGATTCCACTTACTTGAGATACCTAGGGTAGACAAAACCATAAAAATAGAAAGTAGAATGGTGGCTTCCAGGGGTTGAGGGGAGGGGGAAAGGAGGATTTAATTATTTAATGAGCATAGAGTTTTAGTTCTGCAAGATGAAAAGGGTTATGGAGATAAATGGTGGTGACGGTTGCACAATATACATGTACTTAATACCACCAAACTGTACACGTAAAAATGGTTAAAGTGGTAAATTTTATGTTATGTGTATTTTACCACAATAAAAAAGTTGAAAAAAAAATTGAGAAGCATTAAGGCTTTAAGTATCTTTTATTGCTTCAAAATATGTATTTAAACTCTCAGAATAATTCTATTGACATTATTATTATTAAGCCAGACATTTTTATGCTGAAATACAGATTTCTCTATGTAGCTCACCTTAGACTTAAACCCTCTGATGAAGCTGGTGATTCAGTCATAGCTGTTTGTATTATAATGGCATACATTTTGCTGTTACTTTTTATAATGGAAAATTTCAATCATATACAAAGAGAGAATGGAATAATGAAACTCCATAATAGCTGTCACTCCACTTAAACAATTAATCAATTCATAAGCAATTTTATTTTATCTATAATTGCACCTACTTTACTCTTCTTCCTCCAGTGGATTATTTTAAGCCCATCTCAGATATCATATCAATGATGTCTAGAAGTAATTACCATAAATGTTTCAGTAGTTACCTCTCTATACTAAAAGATACTATTGAAAGATACATATTGAAAGATACCACCAGTGTCCTGCATAAACGCCTATACTGGATTATATCAGATTTTTGATATAAACATTCCCGCAGTAAGCCATATATTAGACACAGGAATTACAACACATTCATTCATTCCATTGTAGTCCCTTAAAAGTTAGACCACTAGGAAGTAGGGCTCTCAAACAGGAAAATCAAGAAGAAAATGGCTTAAATAGTTTCAATTGTAATAGGATCACTGATCAAGTATGGTCTTAGAGACCTCTTAGAAAAGAGATGGAGAAAAGTCACCCACACGTTTTCTCTCTCTCCACCTCTTAGCGGTAACTGACCTTCATATGATATGAGTTACTTGGTATATAATAACATGGTAATAGAATATATAAAATAAATCGTGTAGCTTCATGTTTGATAAAACAAATGCAATAAAACTAGCTCAATGCAGAAAATTTTAATTCAACTGTCCTTACCTTTTGTTGGACTCAGATTCTGATCTATAAATCCTCTTAGTTCTGCATTTGTGGAACTCAAACCAACCTGAATAAAATAGTTTTAAAAGTTAAAAAGAAGATCTTATTATATGATCATTTAATAAACTATTTTATACCTTCCACCAGACTAATTACATTGACTATAGGAGTAGGATTAAAACGAAAATGTTGCCATATTACTTGAAATGGGAAAAATATTAATTGTTCAGATTAAGGCAAAAATTAATAAAATGTTATTTATGAGCAAAACTTAGGTCCACAGATTTAACTGATTTTTTTTTGAAAACAAGTAATGTAGCAGCTGTGAAGTTGCCAATAGTTATACCAAAATTTCACTATGATTGCTGCCCTTAATTTTTACTGTTCAAAATCACTGCCTATAATGCTTTTCAACATTATGACACATATGGATCAAATAAAGACCATTAATACCACAATGCAGAGGTGAGGTCCACTGGCTCAGGTCCAACTGCTCAGGTTCAAACTATAGCCTACTATGTGTGTGGCCATGGCCAAGTCACACAAGTTCTCTGTACCTCAGTCACCTCATCTATAAGTTGGAGGGTGCTAGAAGTACTTACCAATTCATGTAGTTAGAAAGATTAAGATAATTTATGCAAAGCATATAGCACAGTGGTTGGCACAGAGACTCAATCCATGTTAACATTCATTATTATTAGTATGATACTTGAGGAACTACCTATAGCAAGTATGTTTATAAATCCATCTTCAGACAATTTATTTTATTTAATGTGCTGTCCACTGGACTACCTCAAGTCAGAGCTGAATATGGTAGTATCATCAGTTTTAAAAATTTATTATAGAGTCGGGAGGAAAAAGAAACCTGTTTTTGAAAACGTGACATAAAGCAAGCATCCAATAAATGGTTCTATGATTACTATCATAATATTGTTTTAATCCTTATAGATTTGTAATCTTGAAACATAATTGCTAATTTAGTACCTCAAATATCCTTTCAAAGTACTACCACACTGAAAGGATTTTAAAGCACACAAAGCTTTATAACTTTATACCTGTGCACTTGTCTTTATGTTTTTAAACTATCCACTGCTTTAACATTATATATTCCACATAAGAACTCACTTCATACTTGACAATTTCATAATATAAGAGCTAATTATTTCATTATTTTTTAATTCAAATGCTTTACTAATAGCTATTTCTTTTTGTCAAAAGAGATATGTTACCAGAAATATTTCTACATATTGTTCACATCATGAAAAAGTAATTCTATGCAAACCTATCTCTAGCATCTAATATTAAATTTTCATAACAGCAGCTGAGACGAAGACATCTAAAACATAGCTTCTTAATTCTATGGAGATAATGGTGTAGATACTTAATTCTGTCTAGCTTCTTACAAGTATTCTGTTAGAAGTAAAGTAAACCCTTCCCAACAAAATCTGTAACAAATTACCAATGCATGGATCTGAGTTGCTGGCAAATATTAATCTTAAGTATTCAATTTATAAATACCAAGAGTTACTGTGGCATCACTGACATGCCTCCACTTTTTAAACTCTTCTGCTATAAAAAGGAGAGAAAGATGAAACTTCCGTTGGTGTTCTACTATAAAAAGAAAGCATAGAAGGCAAAGACAGCCTTTACTATATTCATGCTTAATACAATGTGACCTTTTAGTACATTTATTACAATGTCTTCAAAAGCATCAGTTCATATATTTTTGTTATTATACAAAGATAACGGCAAAAACCTCAACTAAAACCACATAGTCATAGTCGAGAGTTCACAGTTACTGGGTTACTGTTATGTTTATAAACACCTGCTCTTAATGTCCAACTTCTGCAGAGGGAAGCAGCAAACGAATTCGGAAACTTTTTAAGCAGCTGTACACCTGCACCCTAATAACCAACATATTATAATCTAAAAAGATAAAGGTCAATTGCGAATCAATATGGTATGCTAATTTTGGTCTCATAGATGGAGGGAAAGTATTAGAGCTTATATAACTGCTACCAAAATTTATATAATTAAACCTTCAAAAATGTGTTTATTTCTGCTTTCATGAACACTTTACAGTTTAAAGACTCAAAGAAAAAGTAGATTGTTTGAGAATAGAAAAAGTTGGCACAAAAACGCTTTAAAAATACTACCTATTCTTTCCTTTTTGTATCTAGTTAAAAAGAATCTTTCTATGTTTCACGAAGCAAGAGAAAAAAGTGAACTCATTTTATGTAAAACTTTTCATCTAAGAAGGTCCTGAGAAAAGTTTTCCATCTGGATATCCAAACACTGTGTTTAATACTATAAGCAGTCACTAAATGTCTGTTGAATAAAAAAACCTTCAAGCTCAATTTTTAAGAATCAGACCAGATTCCTCAACAACTGCATTACAATTTCACTGATACTTAACATTTCAGATTGACAAACAAAATTCAGAGTGAGATGATCTGTTCTCAAAGTTCAGCTCTACCATTTACAAGCAAGGAGATCTTGGAACAGTCACTGTAAAATGAGGATGACAATATATATGTGTATGACAAACTCAGAAAGCTCCAAAGATCAAATCAAATGACAATGTGAACATACTGGTTAATGGCAAAGTAATAGTCAAGTAGGCACTGTTATTCAAATGGCGATAGCTTTTAACACTTCAACACTGACATAGGTACTTCATAAAAGAGAAATGCAAATAGACCAATAAACATACAGAATAATAGTTTGACCTAATTAGTGATCAGAGAAATGAAATAAATCGCATACCATTTTTGCTGATTAGATTAGCAAAGATTAAAGAAAATAAATGGAAATGGCACGCTTATACACCACTGATGAATATATAAATTGGTACAATCTTTCTGAAATATGATTTAGTAATATGGATCAAAAACTCCCCAAAAGCACACTCAGTGTGAGCCAGTAATTTCCTAAGACATTGCCTCACGGAAATAATCTAATGAGTAAGCAAAAATAAACAAAAAAAAAATTAAAAAGAAAAAACTGAAAATAACTTAATGGCCAATATCAGGAAACTGGTATAAGGTCCATACATGAAACAGCTATATTGTTGCAGAGATATCAAGACAAGATGACATTGATCACAGCAATTAAGCTAAACAGGTTACAAAACAGTATGACCTCATTTCTATTAAAAAATATATAACACACATACATTTGATGTATGTATATACACATTTGTGTACATACCAGATGTCTTCTGAGGCAAAATTTTGCTAGTTTCTTTTCTTTATCTGTGTTTTCTATTTTTCTTGTAATGAGTATTATGGCATATGTACTTTTTAAAAGATTCTTTGATGAAGCAAAAAGAAATGCACTTCAAATTATCTTTCAAATTCTTTATTGTATACTGGGTAAGCTTAAGTTAGAACACACCTGCATTTTTGGTCTAGAAGAATATCACGGGATACTAGATACTATTTGATAACAATTTTATCCCAAACACAATAAATATATTGTCAACTCTGTAGGACTTCCTTTTGTACAATGATGCTTCCCACAATCCATGTAGTTCTGGTAGGACTGTTAATCTTAGAACCTCAATTGTACCACGGCAGCAGAAATGGACACTGACCCAGACCTGACCATTTATGGTACCCCACTTCCTTCTCCACAGTGGCTTGCCTAAGCATATGGGCCAAGCAGGGTCAAACAAAGCTTTTCCATGGAATCTGCAATATAAATGCTAAAAAAGAAGACTTTCTTCTCTTTTTCTGAGATAAACATTCTAAGGCCACCATATATAGGGCTAAGAAGTAGAAAAAGAGAAACAGCCCTGACACCATCATTGGATTCCCTGAATGCAGATGTGTTTGAAGCCAGAGAGTACTCCAGACTTTTCGGTTATGTGAACCAACACATGCCACTTTTTTCCTTAAACTATTCTGAATTGGCTTTTTATCACTTCACTTGCAACCATAACAGACCTAGTATGGCATTAATAAAGCAAAAGCAACTCTTCAAAAAAGCCTGTTCTCAAAATAAAAATGCAAAATGGGAAACAAAAAATAAAGATGTAAATAACTGAATATGTTTAATAATGCCTTCATAAGACCTAGGCAATCTCTTCAATACCTAAGAGTCATTTTGCAGTGACATGATATACAACTGATCACTCCCACTTTCCTGAAACACTTTCCTCACTTGGCTTCTTCAGGCTAACACTGCCTCCTTCCTCCCTGGCCATTCCTTGAGTCTCCTTTGTGCTTCTCCTCCTCCGTAGATGCGGGAGAATCCCTGTGCTCAGACCTCGGTCCTCATGCATTATACATGCTCTATTCATGAATGACTATATAATCTCACGTAGTCTCACTACTTCAAAATAATTTAATATAAAATGACTCCGAAATTTCTATATCCAGCCCCAAGCTTTCGCCTGAGCTCCAAAGTCATTTATCAAACAGATTGCTTAGCCAGTGTCTCTACCTGGATGTTTTGAATAGAGTCAAAACAATTTTTGAGTTTGCCACAAAATCCTGCACTTCTCCAAGAGTTCCTCTTCTCATTAGACAGCGTAGCCATTTACCCCGTTATACAAGCCAAATACTGAAAAGTAGTCTTTAACTTCCTCCCTGCCCCTGTATCCTCATTACTCAGTAAGTCCTGATGGCTGTCCCTTTAAATATACCCTAGATCTGGCCACTTTCCCCATCTCCAATATCATGACGCCAGCCCAAATCACCACACTCTGTTGTCCGAACTACTGGGATAAGTACCGAATGCGTCTGCTCCTATTATGCCGCTCCCCCATCGATTCATGCAGTAGCCAGAAGAAACTTTTTAAAATGTTGAGTCAGGTCATGCAACTATCCTCAAAACCTCTAATAGCTCCTCACTGACATTTAAAATACATAGCCCTCATCCCAGTCTTCAAGGCTCCATATGAGCTGCCTCCTGCTTTCTTTCGGACTTCATCTCCTACTACTCTCCATTGCTTACTCTGTTCCATCTGTAAACTGGTCACCTTGCTGTTCCTTGAACAACCACACTTTCCCCTGCCTCTACGTGGAACGCTCTTTCCCCAGATACACACATGGCTGGCTCCTTCTTCTTGGACTGAGACTCAAGAGCACTGCTCTAAATGTCATTTCCTTAAAGAGGACTCTTCTGAGCTCCTAGTTGAAAGAACACTCCCTCATCTCCATCACTCTCTCTCCTATTATCCTGTTTTAATTTTTTTTATAACATTTATCATTACCTGACATTATATACCCATTTATTGTCTTCTCTCGTTACACTTTAAGCCCTAAGATGGCAGGAGCCTAGAACAGTGTCAGGCACATAACGTTTTTTGGACAAAGGTGTGAAAACGAGAAAGAATGAATTGCTTAGGGCATTATAAACTGGTATAATCCTTTTAGTAAGTACCTTGACAAACCATATTAAAAGCCACAAAAACACTCTTATCGACTGCAGAATGGCTAGTTAACTTGACTGGATATTTTCAGACAACCTATTTTGATTCTTTCCCATATGCTTCAGCCAAGTCTGAGGCTTGATCTCTCCATGTCCCTAACTCCAGAGTATTAGAAGAAGGTTAGTTCATCACTTATCATTCTCTCCCTCGGTTGCTATGGCAGAAGGAGAAACGTGTTGTTTGTTGTTTGATTTCTCCAAATATACAGACAAAATAATGGGAGTATAATTACCACCGAACTTCATAACATAAGGTTCAAATACTTTGTTACTTTCAGGAAACAAGTTTTAATATAGCAAACTGTACATATGGCTAGGAAGATTATATTTGATTCAAAGTACATTTTAAGCCAAAATATACTTGCTATTTAAATGTTAACCAGCCATATTGTTGATCAGAATAACTTTTACATCTCCTTTTTTTCTAAAGGAGAAAAAAATCAAGGTACTATCCAGCAAGGTAATTCTCAATACACAGACTACAATTTTGCCTTTTTCTTTTCTCCAAACAGTACTTCAACAAATATATACAACTTATCCCAACAAAATCAATTAAATGGTAATGAAGCATAAGCTATATCTGCTTATACTAATGCATGTTAAAAGCAAGGTTAATAACAGGAAAATAGAAATAAGTAATAAGCGTTTTTTTTTTTTAATGCTTTTCTTTAGATATATAATAGGTTGTAATTAGAACTATTTTTCTAGCTCACGAGGAGACCTTTTTAAATCGATATACTAATTCCTTCTCCTGGTCATAACTAAACAAACCACTAGTGGCTATCATACTCGAGCAGTGCCAGAGGTCCTCCCCAAGGAGTCTGAAACTGGAACAGACACCGACAGACAGAATCTGTCAGCCTGCCTCCCCCACTTCCTTAACATTTCTCGCTCTCTCTGAACAGGCTGGTTCTGTAGGATGGAGATGCTGACGGGAGAACCGAGGAAGATGATTTGCGGAGAGACAGAGTAATGAAGCAGATGCACAGAGACAAGCAGAAATGAGAACTGGAAACCAAGAACTGCCTCAAACCCTGATAGATTTCAAGTTCCCAGGCCCACTAAATTCCTACTCCTGAATTCCTTGAGACATCCCTGTATCTTTGTAATAAATTCTCTTTTTATTTAAGGTATTCTAAGCTGGTTTCTGTAAACTGTAATCAAAGATTCCAACATAATAATATGGGAACGGTAAAGTAATTATAGTAAGTTACTTCCCTGTATGTTTTAGTATTTATTTTCTAGCATAATCCTTCACCATAACTAGAAACAAATGCATTGATACAGGGTGACAATAAGAATGTACTTGAAAGGAAGTAGATTCAGAAAAGATAGTCTTGAGCAAAAGAAAAAACTGAATAATTTCTCCCCAAACATGTAAGGTCTAATATCCCCTCCGGAATTATGTCATAGAGGATGGCAGCTTCTTCTGGACAATGTCTAAGTATACACGCTTCCGTGAGTAAATCCAAAATTAAAAAATGAAGCCAAAGAAAACAGTGATTTTCTCAATAAGGCCAAGGAGCTCTCCAGCAAGTACTAAAACAAATTTATTACAGTACTCAATAATGGAGCAGGACGGGAAACTTTCTGGAGATAGCAATTTTGCAGCTGTTGAAAAGGAGCAATTTGGCAGCAATTTAAAAGAATGCTACCATGCCCATTTGAGTACTATACTCAACAGCAATAAAGTTTACTATCTCATCATTTGCATAAACAAAAACAATTATAAATTAATGCCAATAAACTGAATTTGATTAATCAGAATGGTAAAAAAGAAAATATCTTTAGGAAAAAGTACAACTCACTCTAAAAATACATTTAAAAATTTACAAATACTTACATTTTTTGCCGTCATGTCAAATTGTATTCGATTTAAAATTCTGGAAAGCCATTAAAAAACAAAAATTAAAAAAACTTTGTCTTCGATAATTCTTTGAAAGAACATCCTGTTAAAGAAGGAAAAAAGAGGGAATAGAATGTAATAATAATAATAGGCAACATTTATGTCATAAATTTATTATGTGACATATATTGTTCTTTAGGTGAATTGCCTAAAATAATCCTCACACTAAAACTATAAGATATGTGCCATTTTAATCCTCATTTTCTAGATAAAAATTGGGGTTTAGAGAGGTTAAATATTTTAATCAAGTCAACTCAGATAACAAGTGACAGAATCTGGGTCTTCAAATATTATACAATATTATATTACATTGCTTTAGACAATTCATTAAAAGAAATGCCAGGGCTTAGAGAAACAGCAAACTCCAGGGCCGGGAAAGGAAATGCATAAGATAAACCTAGAACATTTTATTGTACCTAAAGTAAAGAAGGGCTCAAAAAATGATGGAGACATCATTAAAGGGAGCCAGTTTAAAGGGCCACAAACTGTACAACTGAGGACCAAAATATATACAGATTAGCAACAGATTATAACAGACTATAATAAACCCATTGAAAACAAAATAACATTCCATATAAACAAATAGTGAGGAAGATGGGAAAGCTCTTCTTTACAATGCCAACTAATAAATATAAAAGGATGATAATTAGAAAACCACCAATTTGTGGTTTTCCACAACGGATTAGGCAGGAATCATCAATAGATGCTAAAACTAGTGGATGAGAGTTAGTGAGGAAAAAATGATATTTACATAGTCTTGAAATATCTCCCCACAGAATACATATCAATTCAAATTTTACAGTGAAGAAACCTGACAGACATCATTTTAGCCAAAGTGATCAAAGCCACCAAATGACCATCAACAATGGCAGGAACCAAAATCTGCATCTCCTCAGCTGCACTGAACTTGATATCACTTCTGAGGTATTTCCACCCAAAATGCATAATCTAAACCTAATTATGAGGAAATATCAAAGAAATTTAAATTGAGGGATATTCTGTAAAACAATAGTTTGAATTCTTCAAAAATGTTAATGTCATGAAAGACAAAAGCAGCCTGAGAAATAATTCCAGATTAAAAAAGACTAAAGTCACATGAAAGTTAAATTCAGCCTATGATTGATTCTAGACTGGCCTCTGGACCAGAAAAAATAACTGCTATTAAGACCATTGTTTTCTTATTGGGGCAATTGGAGAAATCAAAACACAGTCCACAGACTGGATAACAATATTGTTTCAGTGTTACATTTCCTGCTTTTGATCACAAAACTGTGTGTATGTGTGTTTTCTTAAGTATCCTTGCTCTTAGAAAAAATAAACCAAAATATTTAGGAGTGAAAGGGGTATATGAGCAGCAACTTACTTTCAAATGGTGAAAAAAATATGTAATCTGTATATACAGAGAAAGTGAGAATGATAAAGTATATGTGCCAAATGTTGACAATTGGTGAATCTGGGTAAAGGGTATTCAGGAATTCTTTGCCCTATTTTTACAGCATTTTTCTTATTTTAAATGATTTCAAAATTAAAACTTTATTAAGGCATTCAAGCAGAAGGATAAAATAAACCTTAATTTTGAAAAGACAATAAAAAAGGGCTTGAAAAAAATAGAGGCTTTAAATCTGCCTTATATGCTAGAATTAGAATCCAATAAAGCTCTGTGGAAAAAAGAGATGTTTTTACTTTTCAATAAAACATTGAGTTTATATTTTTTTCATTGATAAAGAAAACATAAATTTAAAACTCCAAGTAAGATTTGAACTACAACTCTGATTTTTGCTTTCCGACTGTAGCTGCAGATTTGCTCACAATGACTTAATATGAAAATTAAATTCCTACAGTGGAACTGTTTTACATTTATCAATTACTTGTTATTTCCTCTTTGGTATTACAAATATGAAAAAATAAAAAAGCATGAGTTCCTAATATCCCATTTACCAAACTATCTGACATAGTGAAACTAAGAATTTAAGTACTTACTCCATTTTGAAGATTAATATTTTTAACCAACCTTTATCTAATAGATCATACTTACAAAATTTGTCCACATTCAAAATCATCAAAAAGTACTAACAAATTTCAAAGAGGCAATATTATATAGTTTATGGTCCCTGACCGAAATGCAATTAAATTAGGAATCAGCCATTTAAAAAAAGTTAAGTCATGTATTTAGAAAATGAAAATATATTATTGCTCAAACAATCCATAAAGAGGGAAGTTTGAAATATTTAGAATGACAAAGAAAATAATAATAAAACTTGTAAAGTGTAGCTGAAATAGTACTCAGATGGAAATTTACATTTCTTTTAATTTATTAAGCAACCAACTTAAAGGCTTAAAAAGATCATTGAAAAACTCGAAGGAAGAAGAAAAGTAAAAGAACTAATGAAATAAAAAAAAAATCAAAATAACAACTGGTTTTAAGTGTCTTGCTTGAAGTATGCATCTAATAAATAAAGCAGCATTGTTAGCAGAGTGGAAAATGCATGAATTTTTTTTTAGGCTCAGTCTCAGCTCTCACACTTACTAGCTGTGTGACCTTGACCAAGTAACTTAACCTCTTTGAGCTTCAGTGTCCTCATCTGAAAAACAGGTATACTGAGATTTTCAGGGTTATGTTAGGAGTAAATTAGCTACAATGGAAGTGAAAATCATCAAATCCACCAAGTTAAATGCTCTCCAGTTTAAACATAAACACTGAATACTCCTAATCTCACACACACACATACACACACACACACGCACACACAATTTTAAATAGTTTAAAGGTCACCTTATAACCTATTGAAACGTAGTTGTAACAGAAAATATGGTCTTTTCTACCCATAGTACCTGCTATATTTTAGAATACCCAATATCATTTTCCTCTTCTTTCTTAGAAGTTGAAGGTGGTAATGTGCCCAACTAAAAATACATTCTCAGTCTTCTTCTCATGTAGGCTGACCATATGACATAATTCTGGCCAATGAAATGCAAGCAGACATTGTTGGGCTGAGCTACCAGGTTTCGCTAATAAATGTCCTTTTCCCCTTCTCCCCATTTCTTCATGTTCAGAGTATGGTTGTAATGGTCAGAGCTGCTTGTCTCCATGTTATCTGCTTTATTACTATATTCAGTATTCAATACCGTATTATATTTCCTAAGGGCTGAGCTATTGAGAGGCACTGGACTAGTCACCTAAATAAAAGAAATTAAGTGTTATTATTTCAGCACACTATAGCAATAGGCCACCAGTAAAAATACTGCTTAGCCACATCAATGAGCTTGATGAAAGAAAATTTTGTTTAGTATTCCTTTTGTATCTTCGCGTTGAAAAGAGAGCCAAAATGTATGAGTTGCTCGAGCAAATTTGCCTTAATGTCTCTGTGCCTTAATTTTCTCATCTGTAAAACAGGAATAGTATATCTACTTAATTAAATGAGTCAAGACGTGAAAGATTGTTAAGACACTACCCAGCACAAGGTTAGCACTCAATCAGTGTTAGGGAAAAAAGCAGTTCACTGATTTCTTAAGACAAATTAAGGTTTCTTCCTCCAAAATAGATAACACATAATTCTCACATAGTAGAAGTGAAAAATATCACAGCATAAGTTCAATTTAAAACAGGAAAAAAAAGTGTTTAATTGTTAAGAAAAACTTTTCTAAAATTAATAATAAGTAATAACTTCATTAATTTATTTACTCATCCAGCAAACACTGAATACCCACTACGTATAAGGCACTAATCCAGGCGCTGGAGACATCCTAGTAGATGACAAAAAATAGTAAGCATAAACCTTCAAATGTAATTTAAGTTATATAAAATTACATTAAAATAAATATTACAAAAAGAAATGGGATTGTGACAGAGATCTGCTTCATTCAATTAAAAATTAAGAAGTAGGTTATATTGGTTTTGAATGACAGCTTATAACCTTTTAATTTAAAAAATAATGTTTCTAAGTATTTTTAAAGTTTTTCTCTTACATTGTCTTTAAGCTAAAAATTATTGCAATATATGACTTAAGCCAAGTGTCTTGAAAGTAAATAAACATTTTTTTTTATTAAGGCACCAAATGTTTCAAGAAATTGCCATCTTTTGGCATTACTGGTGATTCTCAAAGATAAAACCGATTATGTGCACTGATGCATTATGTTTAATCTAGATAACAATTGTATACTTCTTCCTGCCACCAAGTTTTCTGCTGGTTAAAAAATAAATCGGATTTCTTCTTCCACCTTCATGAACACATTATGTCAAGCTCAAAAAGTCAATTTGTGACCTCACCATCTGCCATGATCTCATGTCAGTGTCAGACAATATAACCCTCACAGATGGTCTGGTCTCAAAATGCAAGCCCTTTTCCTTTTCAATCACAATTTAGCAGCTCTGGTCACAAAGCCTTTTAAAATGGTACAACATTAATCAAAATACAAGGAAGAAAGCACAAATAATTATAAATAAATTTATAGAACTGACATCAGGATTTGTAGACTTTCTAATGCTGCTAGTGTTATGCTCCTAAAAATTAAATTTCAGCAAAGGCAGCATATTTAAATAGAAGACATTACTAGTTTTAAATATGTGCTCATGTTTCAAAGCTTGGAAAATATACAAAACATAGAGTAAAAAAGAAATATCAGCCATAACCTAACTTCTAAGAGTCACTTATAATAACTTTTTGGCATAACTTCCCTCAGTATTCTCTTTCTGCACTCTATCTTTTGATAAGTAATATTAATTAGAAGATATTTCATAGAAAGTGACAGTATGTATCTTTTTCTTAGGTGACAAGCATACCCAGGCACTCTCCTAAGTGATCCACATGTATGATCTCATATAATTCACACTACACTCTATCAGCTAAAAATTATTACTGTTTGCATTTTATAGATGACAAAAAGAATTTAAAAAGTTGAAGTAATTTGCCCAGTTAACTGTGCGAATGGCAATGACAAACTATCAACCCAGGATCTCAGAATAACAGACATGTTCTTAATGACTATGCTAATTTACAAAATGTACTGGACTTGAGAT